CTCTCACATAAAACAAAACAGACTTCAAGCCAAAATTAAACAGAAGAAACAATGAAGGTCACTTCATAGTTGGTTAAGGGATGCATCCAAATTAGAAATCAATGACAATAAAAAACAGAAACTACTCTAACACCTGGAGATGAAACAATACTTTTTTTTTTGTACCTGATATTGAACCCAGGGTGCTTAACCACCGAGCAACATACCCAGCCATTGTTTATATTTTATTAGAGACAGGGACTCACTGAGTTGCTTAGGGTCTCCCTAAATTTCTGAGGCTGGGTTTGAACTTGTAATCCTCCTGCCTCAGCTCCCTGAGTCACTGGGATTATAGGTATGTGCCACTGTGCCTGGTGAAATAATACACTTTTGAATGAAGAATGGGTTACAGAAAAAAAATCAGGGGAGGAAATTTAGAAAAATTCTTAGAAACAAAAGAGAATGGAGATACAACATATTAAAATTTCTAGAACAGTATGAAGGCATTTCTAAGAGGAAAGTTTATAGCACTGAGTTCCTACATTTAAAAAAAATGTAAATAATCTAACATTATATCTCAAGACCTTAGGGAAAAAAAGACCAAACTAATATCAAAATGAGCAGAAGACAGAAAAAATTTTAAGTCAGAGACAAAATTAATGAAATTGAGAATAAAAAAAATAGAAAGGATCAATGGAACAAAAGTTGGTTCTTTGAAAGGATAAACAAGATTGATAAATCTTTAGCCAAACTAACCAAAATACAGAAGACTCAAATTAACAGAAGTAGAGATGAAAAAGGAAATATCATCAGAGACACTACTGAAATACAGAGAATCATTAGAAACTATTTTGAAAATTTATACTCCAATAAGCTGGAAAATCTTTAAGATAATGACAAATTCCTAGAGATATATGACTTACACAAATTGAATCATGAAGATATAAAAAACAGATCAATATCAAGTAATAAAATTGAAGCAGATATTAAAAGCCTTCCAACAAAGGAAAGCCCTGAACCAGATAGAGTCTCAGCCCAGTTTTACCAGACCTCTAAAAAAGAACTAATGCCAATCCTTCTCAAATTATTCCATGAAATAGAAAAGGAGGTAACATTGACAAATTCATTCTATGAAGCCAGTATTACCATGATACCAAAATCAAATAAACAAACAACAAGGAAAGAAAATTTCAGATCAACATCCTTGATGAAGAACGCAGATGAAAATATTCTTAATAGAATATTGGCAAACCACATTCAAAAACACATTAAGAAGATAGTGCACCATGATCAAGTGGGTTTCATCCCAGTGATACAAGTTTGGTTCAACATATGGGAATCAATAAATGTAAATCACCACATAAATAAGAGTTGGGGACAAGAATTACAATAATCTCAACAGATGCAGAAAAAGCATTGGACGAAGCCCAGCACCCATTCATGTTTAAAACACTAGAGAAACTAGGGATATAAAGAACTTGGCTCAACACTGCAAACACTATTTAAGACAAACCCAAGGCCAATATCACACTGAACAGAAAAAAAAAATGAAAGCATTTTCTCTAAAATCAGGAGCAAGACAAGGATGTCTACTCTCACCACTCCTATGCAACACAGTTCTTGAAACTCTAGTCAGAGCAATGAGGCCAGAGAAGGAAAATAAAGGGATACAAACTGTAAAAGAAGAAGTCAAATTATTTCTATTTGCTGATGACATGATCCTATATTTATAAGACCCTGAAAACTCCAAAAGACTTCTAGAGCTGATAAACAAATTTACCAAAGTAGAAGGATACAAGATCAATATACCTAAATCAATTGCTTTTCTATACTCCAATAATGAATATTATTTAAGAAATTTAGGAAAACTATCCACAATAACCTCAAATTTTAAAAAATTAGAAATAAATTTAACTGAGATGAAAGACCTCTACAATGAAAACTACAAAATACTTAAAGAAAGAAACTGAAGACTACCTTGAAAGATGTAAAGACCTTCCATGTTCTTGGATAGGCAAAATTAATAAATGGCCATACTACCATACTACCAAGTGTAATACAGATTCAATGCAATCCCTATCAAGATAACAATGATGTCATTCTTCACAGATCAAGAAAAAACAGTTCTAAAATTCATTTGGAAAAATAAGAGATCCAGAATATCCAAAGCAATCTTAAGTAAGAAGAGCAATGCTAGAAGCATCACAATACCAGAGCTCAAATTATACTCAAGAGCTATAGTAACAAAAACAGCATAGTACTGGCACCAAAACAAATATGAAGATCAAATAAATAGAAGAAAAGACACAGAGAGAAACACACACACAGATACAGTCAACTGATACTTGAAAAAGGTGCCAAAAACATACATTATAGAAAAGATAGCCTAAAAAAAAAAGATAGCCTTTTAAACAAATAGTGCTCTGAAAACTAGATACCCATATGTAGAATGAAACTTGATACCTAACTCTCACTCTGAAAAAAAGTCAACTCAAAATAGATCAAAGACCTAGGAAGTAAAGCAGAAATTCTGCAACTGCTAGAATAAAATGTAGGCTCAACATTCCAACACATTGGCAACAAATAAAACAAAAAGTCAATAAGTAGGATGCCATTAAATTAAAAGTTTCTGCATAGTAAAGGAAACAAGAGCATGAAGAGAGAGACCAGAATGAGAGAAGATCTTTGCCACCTGCCCCTTGGGGAATTAACATACAAAATATATACAAGAACTCAAAAACCTGGACACCAAGAACAAAAAGAAATAACACAATTAACAAATGGGCAAAAGAATTAAACAGATACTTATCAAAAAAAGAAATGCAAATGGCCAAGTATATGAAAAAATGTACAACACCTCTTGAATTTGCATATTAGGGATATGCAAATCAAAACTACATTAAGATTCCATCTCATTCCTGTCAGAATGGCAATTATCAAGAATACAAATAATAATAAATATTGGCTAGGATGTGGGAGAAAAGATACTCTCATACATTGTTGGTGGGACTGCAAATTAGTACAACCACTTGGAAAGCAGTATAAGAGATTCTTCAAAAAACTAGGAATGGAACCACCATATAACCCAGCTATCCTACTGCTTGGTAGATATTCAAAAGATCTAAAATCAACATACTATAAGAATGCAGCTACATCAATAATTATAGCAGTACAATTCATAAAGCCAAGCTTTGCAACCAGTCTACGTGCCTGTTAACAGATGAATGGATAAAGAAAATGTGATACACACACACACACACACAAAATGGAGTTTTACTCAGACATAAAGAAGTACAAAATTATGGCACATGCTGGTAAATGGATGGAACTAGAGAATATTATGTTAACTGAAATAAGCCAGACCCAGAAAGTCAAGAGTTGAATGTTTTCTCTCATATGTGGAAGCTAGACCAAAATAAGGGGGGAAAGAAAAGGAAGAAAGGAAAAAGAAAGAAAAAGGGAGGTATAGAATTCCATGAATGTAGAAGAGAGATCAGTGGAGTAGAGGAAAGGGACTGGGGGCGGAGAGGGTGGGGGAGAAGGGATGGGAAAAGGGAAGAGCGGAATGAATCTGACAAAACTTTCTCATGTACATATATGAATATACCATAGTGAATCTCATAGGTACATGAAATACATATACCTTTTGTATATCCATAGTGTACTAATTTTAAAAAACTATAAATTATTTTAAAAAGTAAAATCAAAATAATAAAATCCTTGATAAAAACTTAAAGGAGAAATTTATCCATCTCATGAGAACAATAATCATACCAATATTTTTTTGAGGCGGGGCGGTTTACCAGGGATTGAACTCAGGGGCACTCAACCACTGAGCCACATCCCCAGCCCTATTTTGTATTTTATTTAGAGACAGGGTCTCACTGAGTTACTTTGGTGCCTCGCTTTTGCTGAAACTGGCTTTGAACTTGCAATCCTCCTATCTCAACCTCCCCAGCTGCTGGGCCAATATTTGTTTTCATTGTAAAACATCCAACTAAATATTTATGAAAAATTAACTGTTCCCATTTTAGAAACTCAGATTGTGGAAAGAGCTCAGGTGGTGTGATGTCAGACCTAAGCACTGCAGGGAAAGGTACAGAGGAGTAATACAACTCTACTTTTTTTTTTTTTTTTTGAAAAACATTTATTTTTTTTAAGTAGTTGACACAATACCTTTATTTTATTTATTTATTTTTATGAGGTGCTGAGGATCGAACCCAGGGCCTCGCACGTGCAAGACGAGCACTCTACTGCTGAGCCACAATCCCAGCCCTGTAACTCTACTTCTTAGAGCAACTGCAGAATTTAGGTGTCAATCACACCTTGCCTCATAGTTTCTGCTTCACTGCTGTAATTACTACTTGCTTTAGGTGCTCATCTACACCTCCTTCAGTTTTGTTTTTTTCTTTTGTGCAATCTGGGGTCTGTTACAGCAGGGGTTCCAACTGTGGCTCTATACAGGAATTGTGTAGGGAGCTCTAAAACATACTGATGACTAGTTTCCAGCCCCAGAGAGTTTCATTTAATTAATCTGGGGTGCAGCCTGAACAAAAAGATTTTTCAAAGCTTCCTAGGTGACTATAATGTGCAGCCAAGACTAAGAACTACTATATCATATCCTCCTTTGACCTTTTTTCATATCCCTGAGGGCTTTGCTCCAGTTCTTCATGCTCACTTTCAGCCACAGGGAATAGAAAAGATGATAAATGATCATATATCCATAGTACCACTACAAGGAATACACAAAATCTCAGTCCAAAGACACCAGGGACATCTCATAGTCACAAACCTTACATTTTGCTTAACAGCCAAATCTAAGAACCATAAAGCCTTTTGTGGGGAAGAAAGAGGCCAAACACTCTTCATAATAACTTCAGGAGTCTTATACTCCTGGGAACACTAAAAGTGATTAATGCCAGCTGAATTAATTCAGGTGGTTGACAGGGCAGTGGAAATAGAATTAATTCCTGTTTCAGAACAGAACAGGCTTTAAAATTCCTAAGTAATCATTCTCCTACCTCTCGTTGCTGCTGGTTCAAATTATGTGAATTTCTCTGGCAAAGAGCAATTGTGTCTACCATGGTATCTTCAACATCCTTCAGTGAGGCAAGTTCTCTGGTATCTAGATTCAGAAAGAGTATAAACAACACTTTAGGACGTGTTTCTGATAATCTCAGAGTTTCTGTGAAAAAAAATGAAATTCTCTTTCTTTTGCATAGCCTTAATTTTCCATTCTAAGGAATTCTATCATCCATAAGACCTAACACTGAGATTTAGTGATTAAAAGATCATTCTGGGCAATAGGAGTGTTCTATATAAATGTTTGACATTCAAAGTACACATAAAGCACATTGTACTTAGCATCTCGACATGCTTTAGTTATGGGAATCATCTATTTGTGGATTAGTTAGTAGAAAGATTATCCTTCACACTTTCTTCTCTACCATCTTTTCCTGTCTTAAATGTAGGTAGTTCCCTAAGAGTCTGTCTTACATTCTTTTTTCTCATTTTTCAATGATTTCAGCCACTCCTGTGGTTTCAATTCTCAAGTTTTTGTTAATAAGTTTAAAGTATACACTTCAGCCTTTACTCCATTCATAAATTTTCAAATGACCCTAGGAAAAAATCTCCATGTCCTCCAAGCACTTTGAACTTTATATGTGCAAAGCCCATCTTATCTTCCTCATTTCAAATCTGCTCCTCCCCCAACATTTTCAAAGTTAATGGAACCAGCATGATTAAGTTAACCAGTTTATAAATCTTCATCATCTTTGATGCTTCCCTCTCCTTAATTCCACACATTCAAATAAAGTGTTTATTTTTATTGATTTTACTTCAGCACTTGCCCACGCCCACCACTGTTACCCTGGCAGCATGCATATCTGCTACTGCAACAGTCTCTTCACTGAACTTTTGACTTCCAAATATGGCCTCTTTCATTCCCTTTTATATTGTTACCAGGGCTTTCTTAAACACAAGTCCAAACATATTATTTCCTTCTATACAGATTAAAGATTCCTAATGCTTAGAAACAGAATATTAGTAAGATTCTGACCCTAGGTACTGTGTAAAGATTCCAGCTTATCTTCTCACTCTCTGTGCCCTGGTGTCACCAGATTATTTCTTAACCTCTGAGGTTAGAAGCCAGGCACTTCCATACTTGTGTCTTAATCTTGCCCTGCTTCGTCTATTAAACCTCTAGTCCTCCTCTGACTTATTTTAAAGGTAATACACGTCTAACACACAACTCTTGACTTGACTCATGGGTCACAAACAGTTCCCTGGTTTTCAACACTCCTTTGCTACCTTTGTGCATTCCATTTGACTTGTGTTAGAGTGTTAATTTGTATGTGTCTCCTTCTTGAGACCAATTATTCAAGGAAGGGACGGCTATGTTTTAGGCATCTGTCTGTAACCTATAGGAACTAAGCACAATGTCTTGAAAGTAGCAAATGCTTCAAATTTTTAAGCATGTTGTCAAAATTGAATCTGAAAGCAGATGGCTATTACTGGACTGGTTACAAGACTATTACTGGAAAATTTATCCTTATAGGAGTTTTAAAAACTGGCTTCTCTAGATATACCACCTACAAATCATGGCAATTTGGAAGAAATATACTTCTTCCTTTTCCCTCAATCTTTCACGTATTGTCTGAAAAAATATTTTCAGAACATTAAATTTAAATAGAAAAATGTCATAAAATGCAATAAACCTAACAATGAAATAGACTGAACACACACTGGCAATTCAAAAGTAATAATTAAATATCTAGTTGGATTATCATTATGAAAAAGTCAATCAAGTGCTTACTGAGGTTCCAAAAAGGTTTAGTATAATTCAAGATGATCAAGATATAACAGAGACTACCATGCAATATTTAACCATCAAAAAATATAGATAATTTATCTACAGAGTTATGGTAAAGGGATATTAGAGGAAGGGTCAAGGGGTGCAAAAATATGTTGTGAAATAGGTAGAACAATCTAAGTCACTTATCAAGAGATTACTTGATCTTCAGGTGGGTTATTTAAAAAATATCAAGGAAAGGAATGCAAACAACCTGACTGAAAAGTTAAACAGACATCTCTGCAAAACAGATATACAAATGGCCAAAAAGGTACATGAAAAGATGCTCAACATCACTAATCATTAAGAAATGCAAACTAAAAGATACCACCTCCCCCTCCCCATTAAGATAAGTTACTATCAAAAACAAAACAAAAGTGTTGGTGAGATTACAGAAAATCTGTAACCCTTGTGCACTTTTGGTGGGAATATTAAATAGTGCAGTGGCTATGGAATGTGGCATGGCAGTTCTTCAAAAATTAAAAATAGAATTAGTACTTGATCTACCGATCCCACTTCTAGTTATATAGACACACACAAAAATGAAAGCAGGAACTTGAAAAGATATTTGAACAACCACGTTCATAGCAGCATTATTCACAATGGCCATATGAAAACACAAAATGTGGTATATAAATACAATAGGATGGTACTCAGCTTAAAAAGGAAGAAAATTCTGACATGTTTGACAAAATTTACAAAATGTAAAAACATTATGCTAAATAAAATGAGCCAGTAACAAAAGAATACTGTATAGTTTCTTAGAGTAATCAAGTTCAGAAAAAAATATTGTTGGAAAAAGTAAGTAGAATGGCAGAAAATAGAATGGTGGTTGCCAGCAGTTGGGAGAGGGGAGAACAGGGAGTTACTGCTTAGTGGGGAGATTTTCAGCTTGGGGAGATGAAAAAGTTGGAGACAGATCATGGGGATGGTTTTATAACAAAGTGAATGTGTTTAATGCCACCAAATTGCACACTTAAAAACAGCAAATTTTGCGTTATACATACTTTACCATAAGAAAAAAAAATGTTGAAATGTCAAAGAACATGATGAAATTTTTAACTATTTATGTTCAAACGCACTCAAGATTCCAAACTGTCAAGTTTTACTGCTTTGGGCTAAAATTGTACAAATTCAGTACAGAAACACTGGCTATTACTTACTGCTTGCAAGCTTTGATTTGCAGTTGTTTGGCACATGAACTTAATTTTTATGATATTATGTACCTCATTAATATAAAACCAAATTATAAGTACATAACTATAACTAAAAAGATAATCAACAGCAGTTGAACAATGTCTATTTCTTGTATATTTAAATCTACTGACAATGAGTACCACCGAGGCACTTATAATATTTCCAATTATGATTACTTGAAAACTAGCTAAATTTTGGATCCATGTTAAAGTAGATAAATAGTAATTATGCAGATAGACCAATATAATTATTACTTAACAAAGTCAATTCACTTTTAAATAATATTTTTTAAAATATGGAGGCTGTGGAGAAAAATAAATTATGAATCACATTCAAGAACTTACTTTTTTCACCTTGATGTGTTGTTATCTCTTGCAGTTTGCTTTGTAGTCTCTAAGAGGTAAAAAGAATACAGGCAGTAATAAGAACATTTTACATTTCATTCTACCACAAATTTGAATTAACATATTTTATAGGAAAGAAATAGCAAAGCTATAAAGAATGGTCCTTTACTGCCATTCAGAAGTGAATACTTGTGCATATAGTTAGCAATATGGCAAGGGACCCAAAAGATCAAGTTATCACTTATTCTGTCCTTGTCTGCTTTTCTTATAACACATCATTGCCACTGATATTCTTTGGGCATAGTAATGAGGATTAGGATTTATCCATGCTTAGGATTAGGGTATAAAAATTCATACTGGATTATGAGAAAAAGGGGTGGACTGGATGGATGGGAACACAAAGGAAATGACAAGTCTACTCTAGAGCATAAGGCACAGCCTTGGGTGTGATTTCTCCCAAATGTGCAGTCATAGTACCCACTGCTCTACTGAATTCTAGATCCTTAAACACCTTTAACTCATACTGCAAAGGCTTCTTAAAACCCTTTTGAGCCTGATCCCTAATATATCCCTTCTACTTCAAATTTGCTCCTTTTCTTGGGGTCCCTTGAAGATCCCAAATGACAGAATCTTAAATCACAGAATTTTAGCTTATAACTAGAATCATTATTCACTATTCCACCTCATTCATCTCATATCACAATCAGATGATCTATAAGTTCTCAAATCTAAGCCCTCTTCTTTCCATTACCCAGGTCAAGTGCTTGTTGACTCATACCTGTGCTACTGCAAGTACTCTCTGCTTTCAGTGTTTCCTCTCCCTTCTCTGCATCTCACCACCCCCACCTCCCACCTCTTCTCCCAGTCACCAAAGCAGTTTCTATAAAACAAAAAAGTAAGTTCCCTGCTTCACAATTCTTTAGTGTGTCCTATAAAGTCTGTTCAAACCTAGACCTAGACTTTGTTTCTGCCTATATATTGTATAGTTGAAATCTAGGTAAGTTGTGATCATTCTCCTAGTGGCCCACATTTTTTTTGTTGTTGTTGTTCTTAAGGTTTTGCAAATGGTGGTAATGGTCCCCTGCCCAGTTCTCCTGCCTCTCCTTCCCCTATTCATGCCAAGAATACTTTTTAAGATTTTTTATTAGTACTGAGGAGTTAACCCAGGGACACTTAACCACTCAGCCACATCCCCAGCTCTTTTTAATATTTTATTTAGAGACGGTCTCACTTAATTGCTTAGGAACTTGCTAAATTGCTGAGGCTGGCTTTGAAATCACAATCCTTCTGCCTCAGCTTCCTGAGTCACTGGGATTATAGGTATGTGCCACTGCACCTGCCCTGCTAGGAACACTTTTTACTTATTTGTTTATACTAGCTTTATAGTGTCAACAAATAAATTACAAGGAAAAATAAAGGAGAGGTAATTTACAGATTAAAAGAAATCAAAAGACTATATTAAGCTTTTGAGGGGTGTTCTTCCTGGCATGTTTTAGAATCAAATAAACTAGGAGCCAACATGGGTCATTTTTTTGATATAAATAGGACCTCCTTATTATATTCCTAGCTGGATGAAAATATATTTAAAAAAATGAGAGAACTTTCTGGAGTGAAGATAATGTTCTCTATCTTGATAAAGACTTCAGTTAGACAAATGCATGCATTTGTCAAAAACTTATCAAATGGTACACTTAAAAGTTGCATTTTCATTGTATATAAATGTTATGTTTTCTTGCAAAGTACCACAAAGAAATACTGAACTGCACTCAATGATATGCATGATTAAAATATTCAGGGGTAAAATGTACTTTTGTCTGCAACATATCTTGAAACATAAGAAATTAAGATGGACTAATGAATGCATTGAGATAGAAAGAAATAGGACAAAACAAATGCAGCAAATGTTACCTCCAGCATTATTAGAAAGGCACCATGAATATCTCCTTTCTTTTCCAATAAATAAGCAGTGACTTCATGGAGTTGATACTTTTGAGTAATCTAGGAAAAAAGAAAAGATACATATTTTTATTCAAAAATCTTATTTGTGAAGTGGAAAGATCTATTAAAGATGGGGAAAAATCCACTATAATATATAAGACATGCAAACCTTGGTATATGCTGTTTTGCAAATATTTGCAAATATTTGATTTTTGTGTCTTATAACGGTCCATTGGCTGTTTTAATTGGACCAAGTATATTCATTTTTTCACATTTATTTTAAAAAATTATTACACACATGCATAGTCACAGGAGAAAAACATATACATATAAATAATAATAATATAAACTAGAAATTCATCAAGTTTAATTCTAAACAAAATATTCAGAATGAAATGACTGTAAAAATACTATACACTAACTTATGGAATCCCCATAAAAATAAACTGAGAATATCTAATCAGCGAAAAAAGAAAGAAGTAGGGCTGGGGTTATGGCTCAGTAGAAGAGCACTTGCCTGGCACATGTGAGGCACTGGGTTTGATAAGTAAAATAAAAGTATTGTGCCCATCTAAACAACTAAAACAACAACAACAAAATAAGCTAAGAAGATAAAAGAAAAATAAAAGAAAATGCCAGAAACCAAAAAATAGAGAGGTTTAACAAACTCAGACTTAGCTTCTTTAAAAAGAGTAATAGGAAAAAAAAAAATCTTCCTAGAAGAAAAAGGCAAGAATAACAAATTAACAGGTTAACAGATTAAAGAAGAAAAACATCTGAACATCTCAATAAATGTAAAAAAGCATTAGGTAAATATGCAGCACCCATTAATGACCCCCCCCCCAAAAAAAAAAGACAAAATACCTGTTCCCAAACTGGAAACAGAACTTTCTTAATAAAGGTTATCTATCAAAATCCTATAATGGAAAATGCATTTTTTAAAGCTGCATTTGATGTAAAGTATTAGATATAATCCCTTTTAAATTAGGACAAGGGTAAAAGATATACTATCACTGCTTCTACTTAACAATATCATTGAGCTCCTAGATATTTGATAAGAGAAAGAAAAAAGTGTAAGACAGGAATGAGAATAACAAAACTGCCATTCCTCTTAAATAATATTATTGTTATAAAATATCTAGAAACTATTTAAACTAAAAAAATTCAGCCTGACTGCTACGTGTAATATAAGGCACAAAATTAGTCACATTGTAATACTATAGTAGCAAACAATAAAAAATGTCATTTAAAAAAATTTCCTTGTACCATGTTAACCAAAGCTATAAAGCATCTAGGAATAATTTAACAAGACATATGTATAAGAACCTTATGTAAAAGTTATGAAACCTCACCAAAAGGTAAAAGAGGCATTTTAAAAAGACAACTACATGGCTTAAATGTAAAAAATTAATACTATAGAGATGTTAATTCTCTAAATTAATCTATAAATTCAGTATATTTTTAAATCAAAATTCCAGAAGGATATTTTTTAAAAAGGAACTTGATAAGGTGATAGTTACTTTGATGTGGAATAGTAAGAGACCAAAATAGCCAAAGTATTTTAAAGAAAAAAAGAATAGGAGGCAAAAATCCTTTTCCAAATAATAAGCCTTATTATAAAGTTATATAAACTAAAATATGTTGGTATAGGTACATGGAATGACAAAGGACCAAAGGAACAGAAGAAAACTCAGAGATTCATGCACATTTGACAGTTTGCTATATAGCAGTATGGCTTTGGAAATCAACGAGGAAAGGTTCATAAAATGCCACATGAACCATTAGCCATCATGTGGGGAGAAGAAGAGAGAAACCTCTCTCTTGATCAGCCTACAAAAATATATTTCAGATGGATTTAAAGCCTAAAATGTAAGAATCTAAATTATAAAACTTAAATAAGATAAATTCTTAGTGCCATTGAAATAGGAATGGAAATAAGATACATACACACAAATGTAAACCTTAAAGGAGATGGTTAAATTAAAATGGAAGTCACTAAAAACAAGTTAAAAGATGTGCTACAACAAATTAGAAGAAGATATCTCCAACACATAAAATTATCAAATCCGTGATCCAGAAATTAGAAAGAACCTCTAGAACTGAATAAGAGTAAAAAACTCAATAGAAAAATAAATAAATAAGATGACTTAAGAATCATAAATATATTGCAAGATATCCAATATCATAAATAATCAATAATCTCCATCACTCTGGCAAAAATTAAGAAGTCTATAAGTATTAGGAATGTTCACGGATGTGAGAAAATAGCAAATGTCAAACAGTGCTGATAAGAACAGAAACAGGAAATCAGCTGGGCAATATCAGTAGAATTAAGCCATCTATTATCTAAACAATCCCCTTTCCATGAATAGTACTTTGAAAAATCTCACATGGGTACAAGAAGACATGTAAAGGATGTGCACTGTGGCTCTGTTCATACTAGTAAAAAAAATGAAAAAAGTCCTAAATACCTATCAACAGAGAAATAAACTGGTATATTCACTTCAAAGATATGACCATTAAGATAAATGAAGTACATCTGCATGTATATAAATGAGTTAATTTTTAAAAAGTGAAAAAAAATTGCAATAGGATTTGCACTATGGATGACACTGTTAGTATAAATTTTAAAAACATATAAAACTGTACCATGTATTTTATAGGCATATACATATATAGGGGAAAGATGAAAATCATGGACTGAAAGGATAAACACCACCTTTAGGCTGGTGATGACCTCAGAAGAGAAGAGGGAAAGGGACAAAAGGTGCTTCCTTTTTAAAAAAAAAATGTTTTATTAGTGTTTTATAGTTTATACATAATAATGGGGCCATTTTGATATATTTATAAATGCATATAACAGGGCTTGCTCCATTCTAACTAAGGTGAAATGAAATCCCCATGTAGTTTTCTTTTTTCCTCATTCCCTCCCCTCTTCCCTGTCCCTTCTTCCCTTCCACTGCTATACTGGTCTTCCCTCTATTTATTCAATGTTTTTCTTAATTGGTCCTTTATAGACATACACAAAAGTAGAATTCACTATGGTATATTCATATATGTACATAGCAAATTTTTTCAATTTCATTCTACAGTTCCTCCCTTTTACTATTGTTCTACCCTCCCCCTAAATCCCTTTCCTCTACTGTATTTTTGTGGGATCTGCTCCCCCTCATACACACACTTTTCCCATTACATTACGCTAGCTTTGCATCTCCCTGATTTCTAAGGATATTAATCATTTTTTCATATATTTGTTGGCCATTCGTATTTCTTCTTTTGAGAAATATCTATTTAAATCTTTTGCATATTTATTGAGAGAGTTATTAGTTTTTTTGGTGTAAAGTTTTTTGAGTTCTTTCTATTCTGGTTATTAATTCCCTGTGGGAAGACTAGCTGACAAAGATTTTTTTATAAGACTCCTAAAGCTTAAGAAATAAAACCAAGAATCAATAAGTGGGATGGCATTAAATTAAAAAGCTTCTGTACAGCAAAGGGAAAAAGAATGTGAAGAGAGAGCCTACAGAATGAGAGAAAATCTTTGCCAGCTACCCTTTGCTTTATTTTTAGAATAAACAAGACAACAAAGATATGAAGCCAGCCTGACAAAATGTTAAAAAAATATAAAATTGAGTTAGTGGATATATACATATTTGATATTTTGCACATTTCTAAATATTTGAAACATTTTATAAATATTTTTTAAAAGTATGTGGGCAGTTCAGGAGATAATGCAGAAAATACAAGTTTCTGTTGATAGCAAGAGAAAAGAGATGCTAGCTGGGCATGCTGGCACACTTCTGTAATCTCAGTGGCTGGGGAGGCTGAGGCAGGAGAAGCTCAAGTTCAAAGCCAGCCTAGCAACTTAGTGAGGCCCTAAGCAACTCAGCGAGACCCTGTCTCTAAATAAAATACCCAAAAGGGTAGGAATGTGGCTCAGTGGTTAAATGCCCCTAGGTTCAATTCCCAGTACCCTGCCCCACAAAAAAAAAAAAAAAGAAGGAAGGAACAGAGGGAGGGAGGGAGGAAGAAAGAGAGAGAGGCTATTTTGTAATAACTTTCAAATGGGGAACACCTCTAATGTTGTATTATTGCACTGATATGTGTGTGGGTACAAATGCACGTGCACGCACGCACACACACACACACACACACACTCTCATTTGGAAACAGTAGAAAATATGGGAAGTCAATCAAGACAATGAAGAGTTAAAGTTAAAGTTAAAGCTACTGGATTGCTATTTAGCCTACTCAGTTTTATGGTTCAACATGACTGTCTCATCATCACTATCTGAATACAACAGCTTGGTCTTTTCCTTTCAATATTTAGTACTGAGTCCTTTTTATAGGCTTATTGTGTTAGCCAGCATTTCTATAAAGTCAGATTCAAAACAGGGATGAACACACGTTGTTTCTGATTTTAACAGAATGAACAGGAAAGCAGTTCATCACAATTATTGCATGCAAGGGGTTAGACTATCCAGGTTCAACCTCAGGCACTACCACTTACTAGCTCTCAGCTTCTATAATAACTTCATATTTGAGTTTCCCTTTGCTCCCCTAGAAAATAGAAAAGTTGACTCCTGTCTGTTGTATGCTATTGGCGTGTACAAAACTTACCTGAATAGTTTCTTCTAGGCGGTAGCACTCAAGGACTTGCAGTGTCTCTATGACTTGGTTTGGATTGAACTGACACAAAAGCTCAATAAACTGCTCTGTAATACAGGGAGATATTTGTAGCAATTCTTGATTTACATGAATACCTTCCCTGAAAACAAAAGGCAAGAAGAGTACTAAATTTAGCATTATTTAATTGCACTTTATAATTAAAGGATACAGGCAAAAAGTGTTTTAAGTTGAAACCAAGACTTCCTTCTGGTCAGGTAAAAATGTGGATTCAAAGTCTCAATGTAACTAGCATTATCTGGATAAACTATACAGTACATTAGAGACATGCTAAATAGAAATATTTCTCAGTTTATACTGAATAATTAAGGAAAAGAAATTCAGTTTTAAGTCATACCAAAAGTTATACTTTGATCTAAAAGAAAGAGACTCCAGTCAGTCTAAACAATTTGACCCATGAGTAACTTAAGTCTCACCAACTGTTATTACTATCTTTCTCTCACACTACCAATCCCACCATGTTGTATTACTTCTTTATTTTCTCTAAGGCAACAAATTCTATGAGGGCAGGCATCTTGTAGCTTCTCACTTACGAATTTTCAAAGTCAACCAGTGCCTAGCATATAGTAAGGGCTAATGTTCTTGTTTACTGTTAAAAGTGAGGTATAATAGGTATACCATATTTATAGGCTAATTTGCCTTGTATTCCAACTATTCACAAAGCACACTATTCATAAGGCTAACCCCAAAGCTTTGGTAGTAGTAGTTTTACCATGCCAGGCACTCAACTCCTGGTGGCCAAAAAGAACTATTCAGGAAATTAGCTTCTGCTCATTGGATATCTAAGAATTTTCTTTCTAGCTTCAAAAGAAGTCAGTTCTGGGGATAGGGTTGTGGCTCAGCGGTAGAGTGCTCGCCATGCACATGCGAGGCCTGGGTTCGATCCTCAGTACCAAATAAAAATAAATAAATAAATAAAATAAGGGTACTATGTCCAACTACAACTACATATATATATATATATATATATATATATATATATGTATATGTATGTATATATGTATATATGTTATATATGTCAGTTCCTTCTTACAGTTCTATCTTCTCTTCAGAATTCCTAAACCAAAGCTCCATATGTAAAGAAATGGAATAGGGTTAATAAGAAAAAAATGAATGCAAGGGAAACAAGACTTCTGAAAAAAAGACAGTTGTTGTCTAAAGCAGTAGTTTCCAGCTTTTCTCATATCATGACATATAGAAAATGTTGACATTGTACGGCTCATACAAGTGAAACAGGATTACTCATAGGGTACTCCCAGGGGACCCTCTGTCTTGGGAGCTGAGGTTTCAGTCTCTAAACACACTTGCAATCGTCACAATGTGGGAATCTCTGCATTCCAGAGAAAAGGATCTGGATTTGATAAGTGTTCTATAAATGATGGTAAGCAGCACTCTTCTTATTACTAATAAGAGGCTTGAGTTACAGAAAGAGGGATTATATTCAGACATAGGGAATCTTTCCTAACTTATTAGCTCAGTGATAGTCAGTCTTGATCAGAAGTCAGAGATGAACTTTCGGCTGCTTGAGGTTTTTCAATTCTTGCTGAGGGGGTGGTGGACAGCAGACTATGCCCTGCTCTGAGTTATTCCATGTTGTTTAGAACAGTACCTTTCAGGCTGTGCCCTGCCCTACATTACTCCATTTTATAAAGCAGCAGTTTGCCCTGAGTTACTTCATTTTGACTACAAGTGCTAAGGCAGAACGACTTGGTAACTCATCTAGGCAAATACACAGAATAACCTCAGCTGCATAGCACAAGTACAACTGATAAATAAATTAACTGTGCTACTAAAAATTACCAAACGGACACAGATGCATAATTGTATCAACTCCACATCAGGGAAACCAGGCCTATAAGTCCAATCACTGGACACACCATACCACCAAATGATGCTGAGATAGATAAGAATTTTGGGATACAGAGAAAGATACTGAGTCTCAAAAGAGAAGCACCCATGAACCACTGCAATGCAAAAACAATCAACTCCTTAGCAACCAAGCTCATATTTGGCTCGTGTCCTTGCCCACAAAAGTAACATGATGAGAGGGTAATGTGAAAGTGTAGGGGAAACTGTCACAAAATTGTGTAACTGCACCCTAAGTCCACCTCTAGTTCAGCTTCTAGCTACTGTCCCTCTATCAATATTAACATCCCAGACCAAGGGATTGCAGCTTGTCACAGTTGAAATGGACTGCTTTCTCCCTGAATGTATTCCTTGCTTTACCACCAAGACTTCTCAATTTCAAAATAGCTCATATTATCCCTTGAATGTGTCTCTGCTTTCAAATAAATCTGTGCCTCTAACTGGCATGTCCTTAAATGATTTTTTTTTTTTTTTTGGTACTAGGGATTGAACCCAGTGGCACTTAACCACTGAGCCACAACCCCAAACTCCTTTCTGTTTTTTATTTAGAGACAGTTGTCTCGCTGAGTTGCTTAGGACCTCGATAAGTTGCTGAGACAGGCTTTGAACTTGCCATCCCCCAGCTTTAGGCTCCTGACTGCTGGGATTACAGGCATGCACCACTGTGCCCAGCTCTTAAATTTATTTCTGCAGTGTCTGTCAAGAACTCCACTTGTCCTGAGTTGAGGTCCCTGCCCCCCATCACGGTGGAACTCCCCAGATCACTTCTGGTGCAACCCCCTCATTTGAAATACATAAAAGGAGAGACACCTAAGAGAGTGGTATAGCATCACACACCAACTTGTCATCAGACCATTTGGTGAATCACATCCTGAGAGTGACAGGTCAGGAACTTCTGACTCTGTCCTAGTAGCTTTAGCTCAGCTCCATAGCCATGCTTGATGTGGCCCACTTTGAAACTGCCTGCTGCCAGGGCACTCACCTTGAACAAATTCTGAACTCTGGACAGTTCCTCACCTGGAACAAGTTCTGTGGCTGGAACCCGGAATCATATCTGACCATGTAAAGATGACTGTTTGCATTTGTGTCTGCTCTCTGCCTTTGCTCCTAGTAGGGCTTCTTGAAACCCTGTGCTTGCTTAACTTTTTCAGTTTTTCTGTAACCTATATATTTTTGTGTAAAGTGTGATGTGACTTGAATGTTGTAGATATTGATAATTAAGATTGGAATGAAATAAATGAACTTTTGAATGCCCTGCTCACAGCTACCAAGGGAACCATGAAAATTCAGTGAATTAAAGCCAATAAAATTGATGTAGCCTGTGAATTTATTGTTATTCTATAAATTCTGACATTGTGGAAAGACACAAACTTATCTGGTCTACTTTAATGGCATAGATTGCTCATGATATGGGCAAATTCAGTATTTCCAAAGTTGACTATAAATTCCAAAGATCAAGTTTTCAGTTGAAAAAAAAATTTGTTGTTGTTGTATCTCAACAACTGCCTTTCATATAGAATTTTTTTTTAAGTGACTGACTATTCTCTACCTTTTTGGGTGGTGGTGGTGGTACGGGAGATTGAACCCATCAATATTCTACCATTGAGCTACATTCTCATCCCCTTTTTCTTTTTTCTTTTGAGACAGGGTCTCACCAAATTGGTGAGGCTCATCTTGAACTTGAGATCTTCTGAGCTGCTGGGATTACAGGTATGCATCACTGCACCCAGCAGTGCCTAGCTATTCTCTCTATATATCACCACCTAAATTCTTACCATATAACTTGAAAAGTATCTGTTTAAGTGCTTGTGTCCCCAACTATACTATCAGCTCCATAAAAGCAATGACCATGCTGCATTCATTATTATTTCCTCAGCATTAGCACAGCATTCCCCAGCATCTTGGCATAAAACAGTGCTCAGAAAATGCATGTAAATGTAACTAAACTGACAGGAAATAGTGCACTGGACTGCCTTCCAAACAGAGGGAAACAACAGAGGGGTGAGAATTACAGGGACTAAGGCTACTAGCTCCACAGACAGCTAGGAACAAATTCTATTAGAAAATTCTAGATGAAGAAATTTTCTAAAAGACACACATGATAAATCCAGTTCTTTATGATGTGGGACTGTGATGTTGTTGCGTAATAAGAAATACATACTTGGTCTCTGTCCTTGGTTTTGAGCACACAGAAGTTGAAATCTTTGGGAACTCCAAAGTAGTAAGTATCTTTTTTTTTTTATGCTAATGAGATGATTGGTGGCTACAGACTCCAGGATAGCCTCTGGATAGGGGTCTAGTTGCCAGGGGAACAAACCATGTGGTCAGAGGTTGGAACTTTCAGTTCCACTACCCATCCATCTCTGGGGAGACAGGAGTTCAAAGTTGCATGTATCAACAATGGCCAATGAGTTAATCAATCATGCCTACATAATAAAGCATCCATAAGAACCCAAAAGGGAGGGGTTTGGAGTGCTTCCAGACTGCTGAGTATGTGGAGATTCTTATAGTAGTGAGAGGTCCTGGAAACTCTTGCATCTTCCCACATGCCCTGCCCTGTGCATCTCTTCCACCTCCCTTTGCTTTTCTATCCTTTGTAATATTCTTCCTAATAAACTGCACATGTTAAGTAAGGTGTCTTCCTGAGTTCTGTGAGTCCTCCTAGTAAATTAATCAAGTAAGGGGTCATGGGAATCCCAATTTATAGCCAGTCAGTCAGAAGCACAGGTAACAATCTAGGGCTTGTGATCAGCATCTGAAGTGGGAGCAGTTTCGTGAACTGAGTCCTTAACCCCAGGAATATGACACTAACCACAGCAGACAATGGAAAATTGAGTTAAACTGAAGTTGGTGTCCAACTGCTTGCTTTATATGTGAAGGAACCTCCCCAATATGTTTTTATGACAAAGCAATTTGTTTTTTTCTTATATCTTCTTGGAGTAACATGTTTGTGTACCAAAATGCTATTAGGCAGAAGAAAACAGGAATGTTAACCAATGTGTCTCCACATTTGGGTAAGCCAGTATACTTTCCAGATGTTTGTGCCAAACTGGTGGTGTTATTAGTATTTTATCTATATCAGATTTCTGTTAATATGTCTTATAAATGCAAGACTATGGAGCAGATTAAGATTAGACATAAGCACCTGCTGATGAATCACAGTACTTAATTCTTCTCAGAACATTTATTGACAAAACCATTTATAAAAGCAGAAGA